GTGGACTCAAAAGAGAGCAGCAGATGACTCCACAGGGGGGTCGGGGCGGCATCCGGGGAGCTGTGTCCGAACTCGTGTCCGAATGCGCTTTTCGCAAACAGTCACACATTTCGTGCTCTTCGACCTCCCAGAACTCCATTCCCGGGCCACATTCTGAATGCCCGGAGCCAACTGTAGGCCACTTCGTGCTCTTCGACTTCCCAGAACTCCATTCCCGGGCCACATTTTGAATGCCCGGAGCCAACTGTAGGCCACTTCGTGGTCTTCGAGTTCCCAGAACTCCATTCCCGGGCCACATTTTGAATGCCCGGAGCCAACTGTAGGCCACTTCGTGGTCTTCGAGTTCCCAGAACTCCATTCCCGGGCCACATTTTGAATGCCCGGAGCCAACTGTAGGCCACTTCGTGTTCTTCGACTTCCCAGAACACCATTCCTGCACCATATGTTGATTCCCCGGAGCGAACTGTGGGCCACTTCGTGATCTTCGTGTTCCCAGAACACCAGTCCTGTGCCATATTTTGAATGCCCGAGCTGAAGCAGGCTGCGGCCGAGGCAGGCTGAGGCCGAGGCAGGCTGAGGCTGAGGCTGAGGCACGCCGAGGCAGGCTGAGGCTGAGGCTGAGGCAGGCTGAGGCTGAGGCAGGCTGAGGCTGAGGCTGACGCAGGCTGAGGCCGAGGCAGGCTGAGGCTGAGGCTGAGGCAGGCTGAGGCTGAGGCAGGCTGAGAGCTGAGGCTGAGGCAGGCTGTGGCTGAGGCTGTGGCTGAGGCTGAGGCACGCTGCGGCTGAGGGAGGCTGAGGCTGATGCAGGCTGAGGCTGAGGCAGGCTGAGGCTGAGGCTGAGGCAGGCTGAGGCTGAGGCTGAGGCCGAGCCAAGCTGAGGCTGAGGCCGAGGCAAGCCGAGGCAGGCTGAGGCTGAGGCTGAGGCTGAGGCTGATGCTGCAGGCTGAGGCTGAGGCTGAGACAGGCTGAGGCTGAGGCTGAGGCTGAGGCAGGCTGAGGCCGAGGCAGGCTGAGGCTGAGGCCGAGGCAGGCTCAGGCCGAGACAGGCTGAGGCTGAGACTGAGGCTGAGGCTGAGGATGAGGCCGAGGCAGGCCGAAGCTGAGACAAGGTGAGGCTGAATGGGGGGGGGAAGGGGGGGGGAGGGGAGGCTGAGGCAGGCTGAGGCCGAGCCAGGCTGAGGCCGAGGCAGGCTGAGGCTGAGGCTGAGGCAAGCCGAGGCAGGCTGAGGCTGAGGCTGAGGCTGAGGCTGAGGCTGAGGCTGAGGCTGAGGCAGGCTGAGGCTGAGGCTGACGCAGGCTGAGGCGAGGCAGGCTGAGGCTGAGGCTGAGGCAGGCTGAGGCTGAGGCCGAGGCAGGCTGAGGCTGAGGCTGAGGCAAGCCGAGGCAGGCTGAGGCTGAGGCTGAAACTGAGGCAGGCTGAGGCATCCGTAGGAATCCATCGGAATCCTTAGGAATCCCCAGGAATCCTTAGTAATCCGTAGGCATCCTTAGGAATCCGTCGGCATAGGAAAAGCATCCTCAGGAATTCTTAGGAATCCTGAGGATTCCTATGTATTCCTAAGGATGCCTAAGGATGCCTTTGGAATCCCTAGGAATCCTTAGGATTCCATTGGATCCTAAGGCCGTTGCCACTGCGACTGTCATTGCGAATGCGACTGCGACTCCGAGAACAGCAGAATTCTACAACTGGATTCTCACCTGAATCGTAAGAGGAATGCTTCCAGATATGCTTATACACATCGCTGTTAGGTTGTTTTGCCGGGATACTTTATACACATGTATATATTTATGTACATATATACACCCATCTATCCCTGCATCTACATATCTATATATCTATGTATATACATACATACAAATATACATATCTGTCTGTGTGTGCGTGTGCGTGCGTGCGTGCGTGCGTGCGTGCGTGCGTGCGTGCGTGTGTGTGTGTGTGTGTGTGTGTGTGTGTGTGTGTGTGTGAGTGTGTGTGTGTGTGTGCACCGCTGCCGCGTTGCTGGCAGGTGGTGCGATCCAACCGTTTTCTCATGCACCCCAGTTTCGGTGCTTGAAGTGTTGGGAGGGGCTGATGACGCAGCTTCTTGGGTGCGCTGCGGATGGCGTTGTCGCGTCGTTGGCCTTACCTCACCCATCATCACAGTCGCTTTGCGTTGCTGGGTCGTAGGCCAGCACCTTACCTATCTGCCTCGCATGTCCGCTGGTCTGGCCACACTACCAATCTTTCTAACAGCATGTATCATTTGCGCTTCACTGTCCATCACCGCCCTGGTGATTCAGTGGCCGCAATTAGCTATGGGCTGTCGCGCTTCAGTTCACTTTGAGTTGAGTAATCTTCTCGTTTTCTTGCCGCTGCATGTTTCGTTTGGACTTACAGTTCCTCGGACACCCATCGTTTGCATGTTGCAGTGTGCGACGCTTGTACGCTGCGCTATCGACAATGATCGGTTGCAATTAGCACTTCCATCTGCTGCTCGCTCTTGGGGACCCTCTGCGCCGCTGACTAAAAAGTGCACCGCTCCCGCCTTTCCATTTCCCTTGCCTCTCCTGGCTGCTCACCGCTGTGCTTGTCATTTCCCCTCTTTCGAGTCGGTTGCCGTTGCCGCTCGCTTACTGCTCCACACTTGTTGCTTTGGTTCGTCGCTATCGCTCAGTTTCCTTCCCGTCTGTCCGTTTCCATTTTTGCCTAACAGCTTTTGCTGATAGGTTTCTAGTGGACTCAAAAGAGAGCAGCAGATGACTCCACAGGGGGGTCGGGGCGGCATCCGGGGAGCTGTGTCCGAACTCGTGTCCGAATGCGCTTTTCGCAAACAGTCACACACTTCGTGCTCTTCGACCTCCCAGAACTCCATTCCCGGGCCACATTCTGAATGCCTGGAGCCAACTGTAGGCCACTTCGTGCTCTTCGACTTCCCAGAACTCCATTCCCGGGCCACATTTTGAATGCCCGGAGCCAACTGTAGGCCACTTCGTGCTCTTCGAGTTCCCAGAACTCCATTCCCGGGCCACATTTTGAATGCCCGGAGCCAACTGTAGGCCACTTCGTGCTCTTCGAGTTCCCAGAACTCCATTCCCGGGCCACATTTTGAATGCCCGGAGCCAACTGTAGGCCACTTCGTGGTCTTCGAGTTCCCAGAACTCCATTCCTGGGCATGATTTTGAATGCCCGGAGCCAACTGTAGGCCACTTCGTGTTCTTCGAGTTCCCAGAACTCCATTCCCGGGCCACATTTTGAATGCTGAGGCAGGCTGAGGCTGAGGCTGAGGCAGGCTGAGGCTGAGGCCGAGGCTGAAGGCAGACTGAGGCTGAGGCTGAAGCAGGCTGAGGCTGAGGCTGAGGCAGGCTGAGGCTGAGGCTGAGGCAGGCTGATGCTGAGGCAGGCTGAGGCTGAGGCTGAGGCTGATGCAGGCTGAGGCTGAGGCAGGCTGAGGCTGAGGCCAAGGCTGAAGGCAGACTGAGGCTGAGGCTGAAGCAGGCTGAGGCTGAGGCTGAGGCAGGCTGAGGCTGAGGCTGAGGCAGGCTGATGCTGAGGCAGGCTGAGGCTGAGGCTGAGGCTGATGCAGGCTGAGGCTGAGGCAGGCTGAGGCTGAGGCCGAGGCTGAAGGCAGACTGAGGCTGAGGCTGAAGCAGGCTGAGGCTGAGGCAGAGGCAGGCTGAGGCTGAGGCTGAGGCTGGCTGATGCTGAGGCTGATGCTGAGGCAGGCTGAGGCTGAGGCTGAGGCTGATGCAGGCTGAGGCTGAGGCAGGCTGAGGCTGAGGCCGAGGCTGAAGGCAGACTGAGGCTGAGGCTGAAGCAGGCTGAGGCTGAGGCTGAGGCAGGCTGAGGCTGAGGCTGAGGCAGGCTGATGCTGAGGCAGGCTGAGGCTGAGGCTGAGGCTGATGCAGGCTGAGGCTGAGGCAGGCTGAGGCTGAGGCCGAGGCTGAAGGCAGACTGAGGCTGAGGCTGAAGCAGGCTGAGGCTGAGGCTGAGGCAGGCTGAGGCTGAGGCTGAGGCAGGCTGATGCTGAGGCAGGCTGAGGCTGAGGCTGAGGCTGATGCAGGCTGAGGCTGAGGCAGGCTGAGGCTGAGGCCGAGGCTGAAGGCAGACTGAGGCTGAGGCTGCAGCTGAGGCTGAGGCTGAGGCTGAGGCAGGCTGAGGCTGAGGCTGAGGCAGGCTGATGCTGAGGCAGGCTGAGGCTGAGGCTGATGCAGGCTGAGGCTGAGGCAGGCTGAGGCTGAGGCCGAGGCTGAAGGCAGACTGAGGCTGAGGCTGAAGGCAGGCTGAGGCTGAGGCTGAGGCAGGCTGAGGCTGAGGCTGAGGCAGGCTGAGGCTGAGGCTGAGGCAGGCTGAGGCTGAGGCAGGCTGAGGCTGAGGCTGAGGCAGGCTGAGGCTGAGGCTGTGACTGCGATTGCCGTTGCCACTGCGACTGTCATCGCGAATGCGACTACGACTGCGAGAACAGCAGAATTATACAACTGGATTCTCATCCGAATCTTAAGGGGAATGCTTCCAGATATGCTCCTACACATCGCTGTTAGGTTGCTTTGCCGGGATACTTTTCCTCCGTCTTTCTTCTACCCCGACCCCCCCTTTTCTTCGCGACTGCCCCTTCGCGAGTATTTGCTGTCGATCCCCAAAGGGTGGACCAGCTTTTGCACGCTGCGCGAGCTGGCCTGGTTCGAGCTCTTCCGCTTGACTTTCCGTCGGCGCCAGAGAGTATGTGTGTGTGTGTGTGTGTGTGTGTGTGCGTGCGTGCGTGCGTGCGTGCGTGTCTGTGTGTGTGTGTGTGCACGTGCGTGTTTGTGTGCGCGTTCGTGTGCGTGTGTGTGTGTGTGTGTGTGTGTGTGTGTATGTGTGGACTGTGGTTTGGTTTGTTTGAAGTGAGAATCCTTCGGTCCGCCACGGCGGATTGGCATGTCGAAGATGAATACATGTCCTTGGTGAACCAAACAGATGATGCGTTTCGGTGACGGGGAGGGAGAGGTGACAGTATATGCAAGCACTATCCACTCTGCGGCAGGGCAACTACACCGGCCCCCTTTCGCTGCTGAAGAAGGCGTACCGGGAAACTGATGCCGAGGGCGCCACTTCGGTCACAAGGGCAAATAGCATTGCGTGTCGCAGTCCATCCGCGTCGTTCGACGACAGCTCTTGTTCTCCGCCTTTGTAACTCGTATTCTGGGGGCCTGGTCGCCTACTGTGGCCGTAAGTCTTGCACACTTCTGCAACCGCCGCCTTGTCGAGTCGCCCTCAGCCGTCCCACGTAGAGAATAATTGCTACAGCGAAAGATGTTGCCTGGTTCAGTAAATTCTTCGAATGTGAACCCGCCCGTGCTTGCCTGCACAGCTCTTCTTGTTTTTTAATGTCATTCGGGCGGAGCAGCTGTGCAGCACAGTATCATGCCGCAGGACGTTCGCGAACATTCTGTCCGCCAACACGTTTTTGATATTGGAAATTGTGTGCGTTCTCATCGGCATTTATTTCGAATGCATGCAGAATGCGCTTGGAGACCAGAGCTTGAACATGCCCCTCTACATTCCCCTCCCCATCTCTTGATCCTCCTGCGTCGTAGGATGTCTCTCGGGAGGCTCCTGTGTATGTGTGAATGTGTTCACATGTATACATATATATATATATACATGTTTTAAACGAACAGTTTCGGTTCATGTAGAAGTGAATGTGCATGATTGAATACCTGTTTATGTGTTAATACGGACATTGACATGTATATTTATATGTGTATTTCTACGTACATGTACCTGTCGATGTCTAAATGTATATGTATTTGTATATGTAGATGTGCACGTACACACATATGCATGTGTATACGCCTATGTATTTGTACATGTATAGTTGTATGGTTACGTAGATACAGCTATCCGTACGTATACATCTGTATATGTACAGGTATCCACATAGGTCTATATGTAGAGATAGGTCTAGGTTTATGAATAAGTCTATGTATATGTCTATGTCTATGTACACTGATGTGTCCATTTATGTCGATGTTAGTGCGGAGTGTGCTGGCAAACGGGCACGGGATTGAGGGGCCCAACGACGTGTTCACCGTGCTCCCCTGTATTCCATTATATATTCGCTCAAGCTTTCACAGGTTCGCTCGCATGGGCCCCCCGTGCGGGCCCCAGACTGCCGCGGCGGCGGTCGCGGTCCATGTGGCGGTGGCGCTAGGGATCTGGAGCTCGACGCCCACGCTCATCTGCCCGCAGCCGGTGCGCCCGGCCCCCTTTGCCCAGCGCTGATTCGTCCCGACTGCGTGTTGACGGCAGCGGCTCCGGACTCGGGGCCGCCCGGGGGCTCTGCGGCTCTCGGACTGGGCGAGGTGCCCAAGGAGCTGGCGGAGACCCACCTGACGGTGGTCCGCCTGGAGGAGCGACTGGCGGGGCTGCAGACGGCGCTCGAGGAGGAGGAGTTTATGCGTGAGCTCGGACCGGTCATGCGGTTCGCTGTTTGGTATGAGGACGACACTTACTGGCACGAGCGGATAGCGATGGCGGCTCACCTCGTTCCCGGCGTGGAGATTCTGGATCCGATGAGGGGGCACTTCTATGAGTTCGGTGCCGCGCCCGACGCGTCCGAGCTGGTGGAGCAGATCAAACTGGCAGAGGGCGAGGCGTTCGGGATCACCAGGCGTCGGGGGCCGGCGCACGAGGCCATCACGCTGCAGCACATGCCGCTGGTGGTGGATGACGGCCGCGCGGTGCCGGGCGTTGCGCCAGGCGCGGCGGCCCCGGCGCTGGCCACGCCGGCTGCCCCGCCATCTGACGTCACGTCGCTGATCATCGGCCCGGTGCATCCCCGCTTCGGACGAGAACGGCACCCGTCCTCTGATGCGGAGACGGCGGGGGAGTACGCGAGGGCTCTAGAAGTCAGTCGTCGGCCGATGCCAGTGAAGCGAGTGCCGATCTCCATCGTCGTGACCTTCCTTGACACGGGGCACATGCGGGTGCCCAGGATCTTGGATGACGAGGCCGCCGCCATGAAGGCGGGTGGAGGGCTGGAGGGCCGCCTGAGCGATGCCCTAGACGGTGGCACGAAGACGTCCCCAGCTGGTGTGGACGCGAGGACCCTGACGGTGAGCCACGACGAGCACGGGGAGCGGCACCAGGACTGGCGGTTAGTCTGCGCGGAGATCTCGTACGGCCATTTCGGTGAGCGGGAGAAGTGCCATGAGGGGCCTCCTGTGACGTTGTCGTCGCTCAAGAACATCCAGCGTCAGGGAGGCGACCCCCGCCGTTTCCTTCCCATCTGGCGTCGAGATTCGGACGTGAGCCCGCAGGAGCGCGCGGGCATCGAGATGAAGCTGCTGCCGAGGAGCCTCTACCTGAGCGGCGGCTACGGCCAGGTCAACGGCCCTTCCCTTGCGAGAGTCGAGGCCATGCCGAGGAGGGTGTGCCAGATCATCGAGGCCCACTCGGCAGGGACCCCTGGCCGCGTCGATTGGGAGGACGTGAAGTGGGCTGGCGCGGAGGCGGGGAAGGCTCAGGCCCTGGGGTGATGGTCGCGGCCGGCGCCGGCCGTGGTCGAGCCGACGCTGGAGGCCTAGATCCGGCGGCTGACGACGAGCGAGTGAGGCGCGTCGCCATGTTGCCGCTCTTCCCCATTCCCCTCGCCCCCGCGCCCACCATGCCCAGCGGGCGTGGCCGACAGTCCTCGGGCCTGAAAGGCCATTTGCGACGCCTGAATGCAGACGTCAACGCAACTGTGAAGGCTTTGAATTGGATGGCTGGGGATCGGCATCCGCCCGAGTACGGGCCGCCGCGCACCCCAGAACAGGCTAGTGTGCATGCGCGCGTGCGGCGGAAGATTTTGTCCCTTTTGACCCCGGATGTCGCGATCCCTAGCCGGCGAGCGGCTTTTTTGGAGCTGCTGCACGGCCGAGCTGTGTGTGATGCAGAGCCCGGTGGACACAACCTTGCCAGTTTCTCCAATGTTGCCTCTGTGAGCCTACCTGACAGCCTCGTAGGCGCCCCCTCGGTGCAGGAGGTTGTGGGCCCGGAGGCAAGCCAATACTTGGGGCAGAACTACGAGCGCATGCTGCGCCCCTCTTCGGACTTTTTGGAGCGACAGGAGTCGCTGCCCGCTATAACTCCCTATTGGGACCCTGTGCTGGCTCGCAGCCGCCGCAAGTTTCTGCGGCTGATGCGGGCGCTCCTGCGGGTCGGGCTGGTCACGCTTCTGCCAGCGGGCTCGTCTCAGGAGCAAGTCGGTATGTTCTTTGTGAAGAAGACCGGCAAAAGCAAGAGTCGTCTCATCATCGACGCGCGTAGGGCAAACAGGATTCGCCGAGCCCCCAGGGGTCCATCTTTGTTCTTCGGAGAGCCTCGCTAGGATCGAGGTCTCTCTCCCTCCAGGTTGCTCCAGTCTCACTCCTGATCAATTTCGTAGCCCCCTGATGTCCCTGGGGCTGGCGGATGTAAAGGACGCGTTTCATCGTTTTCGTCTTCCTCCGGGACTAGCCAGTTATTTTGGTCTCGGTGTTGCCGCGGCTGGGGAGTTGAAGGCAGTGGGCGATATCGTCGGCGGGAAGATCTTGGGGATCGATGACTGCATCGACATCTGTTGGGCGTCTCTTCCAATGGGGTTCTCTTGGTCTCTTTACTTCTGTCAGCAGGCCGGGGAGCATCGTCTGGGTGGAGTCCCTGGCCTTCGCGGTTCGGTCCTTCTTCGAGATCGCGGTAAGCCAGGGGTCTTCAGCTTCGTCGAGTCGGACACGGGCCACGAGAAGGGGGCGGTCCTCGAGGGATCAGGGGTCTGTCATTACCTCTACGTCGACAACCTGGGCGTTCTCTCATGCGACCCCTCCCACACATCGGCTCTTCTGTCCGACGCGGCGGCCCGCTTTGAGGACGCGGGCTTGGTGACCAATGAGCATGAGGTGAGCGTCAATTCCGTGAAGGCTCTTGGGACTCATGTGGATCTTGAGAAGCTTGGAGTCTCGCTCGCGCCTGTTAGGCTGTGGAAAGTACGTCAAGGGGTCCTTTACGCCCTGTCGTGTCGGAAGCTGCCCGGTCGGGTCTGGGAAGTGCTGTTGGGTCACTTCACATTCTGTGCGCTGATCAATCGTAGCATGATGAGCGTTTTCAGGAGTATCTACGCGTTCATAAATAAGTACTACGCCACGCCCATGCTTTTGTGGGACACAGCTAGACAGGAGATGTCGGCTGCAGCCTCTCTGCTGTTCTTGATGGATGCTTCGTGGACTTTACCCTGGTCCCCAAACGTCGTGGCGACTGACGCCTCAGAGGAGGGGTTCGGGGCCACGGTCTCGGAGTGGGGCACCCAGGACGTCTCGGAGGTGGGGGGGATCTTGGAGAGAGGTCGTTTTCGAAGGCTTCCTGGAGTTTCTGCTCGGGCCAGGTTTTTCGGGAGCTTGGAGGAGCTGGGGTCCGACGAGGAGGAGGGCGAGTCTGAGCGGCCGTGCGACGTCGACTCGGATTTTCCGGAGGTCCCCCATGCAGTACTCACGAGGGCCCGCTGGAGCGCCCTTCTGGCAGGTCCGTGGAAATATTTTGACGAGGGCATCTTTACCTTGGAAGCCAGAGCCCTCCTGTTGGGATTCCAGGCGCTGGTGGGCGAGTGCAATGTCAGAAACGCGAGGGTGCTCTTCTTGGTTGACAATCTGGGGGTCTGCCTGTCTTTCGCCCGAGGGCGCACCGTGGTGCCTGGCTCTTGGGCTGCGTGCGTGTTGTCGATGGATACCATCTGAGTGGAATACGGCTGATGAACCCTCTCGTCGCTTCTCAGTAGAGCATGTTGGCTCACGTTCTGTTCCCGGCGGTGCTGGCGCTTCTGGCATCAATCCGTACCCACTCAGATGCGAGGATGAGAGGACCGAACCTTTGGCCGGCCCGGGCGGTTCCTCGGGCGAAGGCGCGGGCAGACCTGCTGCCGGCAGGGTCGGCACCTGCGCCCTCGACACCAGTGGCTTCGAGGAGTTTAGTGGCGACAGTGTCAACTCCTCCACCCCGCAGGCCGACCCGTTCCCGTCGCTTACAGCCCGGGGATATGCTGATGGCGAAGCTCGAGCCGGCCCCGAAGGAGCACAACGCGCCGGCCCTCGACGAGACGAA